TACTTACAAGGGACATGTCACAACTGTCCGGCACCGATTTAATTCTCCTTAAAATATGTTTTTAAACACAAAAATCTAAGAGACACGTATTTTTTTATATGTGCGGAATCTCAGGTTTAAGGGGTGAAACACCCTTTAGAAAAAAAATTGTTTTTTTGTTTTGTGGCGAATATCGAAAATATAAAAGATAGAAAAATATGTTTTAAACAAAAGTTGTACGGTTTGAAGAGTACTTTCAGTTAAGTTGTAAAGAAAAAGAAATTTTTTAATTTTTTATTTAACAAAATATTCCTATCACTCCAAGTTCTTTTTAATTAAGAAAATTTTTTTCTCTACCAAATTAAAGGTTATTTTTTTCTGAATTCAACCATATGTGATGAAATTAAATTACGAAATATCATTTTCAAGAATTAATTATAAATGCCTCCGTATATACTATCTGTGCTCATATGCATAGTTTTCATCAAAACAATAAGATATGTATTAATCAATGAATAACAAAATCGACATGATTGATCATATTCTTAATATTACAAATTATAATAATAATGATAAGAGGTTATAATAAATATATTAAGAGTTATATTTTCTATTATTTCTCCTTGATAATAATAAAACTTATTTTTTATTTAACTCTGTACATTATTTCTTTATAATATCTTAAGATTACTCTCTTAAAGTTGTTTCCATTCTACGCTTTTACATCTTATTTATTTGTGGTTTACATAATAATTTCTGAACTTAATAATATATTAATTTTTTAACGTTTAGATAATAAATTTATATTTTGTATCATTCACTCATTATATTCATACAATAATGATAATCGACGAAGAAATGTTTTAAACATAATGAGTTCTTGCGTCATGAACATCTTATTATATATAATAAGATGTTCATGGTGCAATTATTGTCATTATCAATATTGTAATATGATTATCATTATTGTAATGAATATAATGAGTGAATGATATAAAATATAAATTTATTATCTAAACGTTAAAAAATTAATATATTATTAAGTTCAGAAATTATTATGTAAACCACAAATAAATAAGATGTAAAAGCGTAGAATGGAAACAACTTTAAGAGAGTAATCTTGTTGATGTTAGAAAGATGTTATAAAGAAATAATGAACAGAGTTAAATAAAAAATAAGTTTTATTATTATCAAGGAGAAATAATAAAAAATATAACTCTTAATATATTTATTATAACCTCTTATCATTATTATTCTTAAGATCGGAAGAGCACAC